TGCTGCACACCCATTCCACTTCCTTCTCGCGTTCCCCTTCCTTCTCGCGTTCCCCTTCTCACTGTGACGCAACAACGACTGTACAACTTGTAGAAGCTCGGACAACACCACAAGTTAGTGGCCGCCAACACATCCTCCACGGCATTGCCCATGCCGTGCGCCGCAACACATCCACAGAAGCCTCAACAAACCATTCCCGCCGCGCCTCCCTCGTCGCCCTCCCCCTCTCGAGACGTACTGTAACGTGCCTGGTCTCTCTCAGCGCCAGCAAACCATGGCCCCCCCCGCGCACCCCTCCTCTCTCTCCCCCTCTCGAAACGCACCATGTCTGGTCTCACCCACCGCGGCGGCAACCCCCCCGCTCCACACTCATCCTGCTGTAGCTTACTGTAGTACAGTATTATCACTGGTGCCGGCACCAGCGCTTTGAGACGGCTACCACGGATGCAGAATGCTACACGTGTACACGCCCGACGATTTGATCTACTCTACGCAATTCCTCTAGATCAGCGCCGCATGTCTTTCTCGACCCACACCCCGCGTCTGCCCGCCACCCGATGGCCTCGCTGCGACACTTTCTGCAACGCTCTGCCGCCCTCCGTCTCTACCGCGACGTCATCCGCGTGGCACGACAGGCCCCGCCGCACGCCAGACATTCCATCCTCGCCGAGGCCCGCCGCGAATTCGAAGTAGCGCGGCAGCACAACCCGACCCCGGAGTCGTCTCAGGTCGACTTTCTCGTGTCAAAGGGGCAGGAAAAACTGGAAGAGCTGAAAAAGATGTTGTCTCTATCCCGCGTGTGAACCGGGCGAACTTCGATTGCATTCATGCAGCGCCGTGCTTGCTTTTAAGGTAGCCTTTTTCTATCCTTATCCTTGGGAGCAATCTGTTAGTAAATGGATGTTGCTGTCCGCCCCCGACGTGAACAGCCACGGCAGCCGAGGATGCCACGCGATGTCAAGCACACCAAGCGAGCTCACAATTTTGGAGCAGCTCTCGAGCCTCTTCACCGGCACGATTAGAGCGTTTTTCGCAAGGTCATCATAAACCATTCCGTGAAAGATATGGCTCGATCCGTCATCCGAAGCGTCTGCAAACAGCGGTAATCGTGGATGGTATTTGGCAGTGCGTACCGCCTTGTCGTGGTTTCGTATCGTCTTGTACGGCCGTATGGACAGATCTAAATCGAACCAACATAGCCGTTTGTCGTACGAAGTCACTAGCACGTGGTCTCCACTCGGATGGACGTCGATCGACGAGATCCATGACACTCCTGGTTTTAACGTCTTCACCATTCGCTGCAACGCCAAGTTATAGATTCTCACATGGTGCATTGTCGCAACGAGAAAGAAGGGTCTGGTTGGATGGAATTTCACCGCCTGCACCAACGCTGTTTTTCTTTTGAATGGCATCTGCGTTGTTCGGTGCGATAGCCTGTGGATGGCTACTGTCCCACCACTCCCGTCCTTACCAACACATGCGATGTAGTCGCCCTTTCGATGCCAGCAGAGCGTTCGAAGAGGTCTAGGGTGTGAAATCGTAATAATATGACACTCGTCTTCCTTGGTTTCCCCAAAATCGTTTTCGTTTCCGTTACCCTTTTCCCCAGACTCGGCGCGATTCTCACCCACTGGGTTTTCCTCTTCTTCCGCATCCTTGTTCCCTTCCTGCTCATGCTCATCAACATTTTTCTCTTCCCAGACTACCCCTGCTTCCTTCATGATCTCAATTCGTTCTTCATCAGGGCTGGAAGCCCTTTGGTTCTCCATCGCCATCCCCGTTTCTTCTACTGCTATCCCCATAGCAGATGCTGCGCCCACCACAACGAGCGAGTAGCCTATCGTTGCTGCAAAGACATAGGCTTGATCTTTTGGACACCACGCAACCGAGCTGACTGGCGGGTAAGCATCATCGATTTTTCGGACAAACTTTGTGAGGTTCCATGTGCATTGTAGGTGACCAGTACCGACCTCCCACAATCTCACACAACCATCATCGGAGCCCGACAGAAGCCATTGGCCAGCAGGATGCACATCAATTGATCGCGCCCGCGAAGGCAGCGGTCCAAACGTGGAAACAATGTTTGTCGGGAAAGGACGCAGTTCCTTCGGACTCGGAAGGTCCGGGATGAGCTCTTCCGGATCGATCTTTGTTTGGTCCTTGACGACTCGCACAGCCAAGTACAAGTCGAGACATCTTTCAAAGCGCTCTTTGATAAAGTTTTCGTACAGCGGTACCTGTCGCAAGGAGCTATGCTTCGCCGGCAGGTACTGTGTTTCCCTGTCCTCCGGATCAAGGTCGTTCCATTTCTTAGCTTCCTCTTCGTTCGGTAGGTATTCCGCCGGCGGGTTGTAACTCTCCCCATGAGTCGGCAACGGCGGTTTCGGAGCAGCGAGTCGCATAATATCCCGGGCGCGCTCTGACTTTGTCATTTCCTCTCTAGTCTTTGGCTCATGGTCAGCCCACGCATCATACTGATAAAGCAGCTCCTCCGTTGCCTCATCCTTAGCCCTTTCGCTCGGGCGCTTAATTACGCCCGCGCGCATCCCACGCACAAGCTTGACCACCAGGCGCGCCTCATGCCTAGACGGCAAGAAGCGTCGCTTCGGCTCCGATCCCGTCGTGAGAGCATGCTTCATCGGGGCGCCAGACCACGCGATGAGCTCGTTCTCGGTGTCGACATCCCCACTCGGGTATCGGCCAACACGCATACGGGCTATCGCCTTTAGTTCTTCATGCGTGAGGACTATCTCCTTGTCATTCTTCTCATCGTAGACCCTCCGCCACGCGCTCGGGTCCGCGGCGAGATCCAGAGCTGAGGGCTTGTTCTTCGGGAGGATTTTGTCTCCATCGCGCGTATACCCGATATGCTCGTAGCCGTCGTACCAGCGCATAGGAATATCGCCGACGGGGTTCTCATCACCGTCTGAGCTGGAATCGCTCTCCGCGCCTGCCTCGGGAGGTGAGTTGTCGGGCTCCGGGTCGTCGTCGGCGCTGTCGGAATCGCTTGCAGAGTCGCTCTTCGCATCGAGAGATATGTTTCCGAGAACCTGGTGAGAAGCCAATGCCGCGTTGCGTTTCGACACGAAGCTGATGTCAATGCCGTCATCATCCGACACCACCGGACTCTCGTCAAGGGTTCCTGGCGTTTCGCGCCGTGCCTTTTTTGAAACCATTCGTGTAGCAGTGCTTATTCGCCGTTGAGGTGGTCACTGAAGGAGTGCGAGCTGGAGTTAAATGAAGTCAACCTCTCACCATACGTCGGTCAACGGTGTGCTCTTAATACAGCGACATTTGAAACCGAAGATGAGAGAGCTGTTGAGACGGTGGGATTACGCACGGAATTGTACGCACGCCGCCGCCTTCGGACGGCGGCTGGCTATTGGTCATTCCCTTGATCCAGATGCGCATTACGACGCAATAATTTTACTGCAAAACTGATAGCTCGGCTAGACCACGTGTTCAACGTGGCACACCAGTTTCTTTTTGTGTCCATCCACCTTGTAGGGTAGGCCGGCTGGCATCGGTGCCTTTTTTTGCGCGTACCGTACAACTTCGCAGAACCAGCTTCCATCTCCGTTTCTTGCTCGCCGCGGTGCCGGGTTCAACAGCTATACTGAGGCCAACCTCTCGAGCTTGACAGCAACCCCTCTTGGAATACAACCTTTGAGTTGCGTGCCACTAGTACTGTCACGACTACTGCCCATTTTGCCACCCACCAGACGCACTTCCGCGCTTGTTCTCACTATGCATTCATAGCAACGAACAATGCAAACTTCTCAACGTCCTCGAGCCGCCGAATCGACCTCCCAAGAAACGAACCTCCTCACCGCTCTCCAAACGACCTTCTCCAAGGATGCGGACCCCGAGATGTTTCTCGCGCGAACGGCGGACAAGATTGCCCAGCTTGAGCGGACCATCGTGACGACGTGCTCCAAGCACCGCATCCGCGTCGACGATAACCTATACACGCTTCTCGAATCGCGCGACGCCATCGCCGAGCAGGAGCAGGACATCTCCAACTCCGTGTTGACGGCGTCGGAGATCACGGCCAGCATCGACGACGCGGTCGCCGTGCTCACAGAGAAGATGCACGTGCGGCGCAACCTCGACGCGGCCCTCGTCGTCGCCGCGCAGACGCGCAAGCTCACGCGCATGTACGCGCGCATCGAGGACACGATCGACGCGCGCCGGCTCTACACCGCCTTCCGCATGCTCGAGGTGCTGGAGGAGGAGACGAGGGCCGTCAAGCCGGGCACCGTGCTCAGGGAGCTGGTGCCGGACTGCCAGCAGCTCCGCGCGACCATTGCGCTGCACGCGCGGAAGGCACTCCAGTCCTGGCTGGAGACCATGCCGCGCTTCGAGGAGGAGCTTGGAGGGTACGCATTGTACGACGCGAGCAAGAAGTCTGGCAATGTACGCAGTCTCGCGACTTTGTGTCGGGTGCACGCGAGAGGCGAGGCGATGCCGAGAAGGACGTCAGTCAGCCCGAAGAAAGGCAACGCAGCGGAACGCAGTGAGGGAAGGAGGGATCGGGCGAAGGCGTGGTCGCCGCTGCTGCCCTCGAGTCTCGGGCACACGGGCACGTCGTTGCCACGGGGCTTTACTCGAAGCTCATTCACTTCGCAGAGCACGAGAATGATGGAAGAGATCGGGGCGAAGCCGTCCGGATCGGGCAGTGTGTATGCGAGAGGCGGGGATGCAGGGGATGATTCTCTACGGTGGTTTGAAACGGACAAATGGAAAGAGGCGCCGAGGATCCATCTACGTGCGCTTCTACAGAGCGTGCTCGTGAACAAAGGGCTGGAGCATCTGGAGGAAGTGCGGTCTGATTACGGGCGGGAACGGCAAGCACATCTCAAGCAGACGGTAGACGCTCTGATGGACGAATGGTCGCAGCGAGACGCAGACGAGAGCGAAATCAGCACGGAGCGGATGCGGCGGATGGAGGATTGCGTGGTGCGGGTGTGCGGTGTGTTTGTCGTGGAGCGGGCCGTGGAGCGGTACGCCGAGGCCAGCGTGCTGCAGCGGGCCGTGGTGAACGAATGGTGGATGATGGCGCAAGGGCGCATGGGTGTCGTGTTCAGGGAGGTGGAGATGGGCGGAGAAGTAGATTCGATGTGGGCCAGGGCGCTTGGCAAGGCGGTGGAGGCGTTTGCTGAGGTGAACGGGCTTGCGAGCGGGGTAGGGTAAGGCGAGTCTAAAGCGGCAACGGGGAGGCGGCAGGTGGCACGGGGTTGTCGGGAGGGAGGCGGCAACAAGGATGGGGGGGTGGGGGGCTTGGCGGGGTTTGTGCTCTTTTTTTGGATCGGAAGGAATACAGCAGATGTATGTTTGGCGCGGTGCATAAATTTAGCGTACTGGTAGCGGTGGGAGAGAGGAGCTGTAAATTTGGATGACCGGGGCAGTTCGTGCGTGCTGTATGTACAGTACTTGTAAACGTTAGCCCGAGGCCTGGATCGCTGCGATGGTAGAATTGACACGCGGCGGGCGCGCAGAGTGTGACGAGAGGGGTGAGGTGTCTCCCAAGTTGGCAACTGAGGTGCATGGAGAAAGATCTCGCGGGATATCGAGCGTTGGCGCGAGAAAATGTGTGCGTGGCCATCCGGCACGACGCGCGCGGCGCGAGGGGTCTGCTACGCAACAAGTGTCGTGTGTTGTATAAACACTCTTTATAAAAGAGGGTGTCTGTAATTTGCTGTGCAGAACAGTAATAGACGCAGCTGTCAATGTTCTAAAATTATCTACAACTGGCCGTTTTTGCCGGTTCTTGCCGGTTATCGCCGAAACACCAATGCCCATCACGCACTCCAATCTACTGCACTGTACCAAGGGTACGCTACGATATGTACACAAGGCGACGGAGAAAAACGCGTCTCCAGGACGCGCGGGCCAGGGGAAAAACGCGCCGTCTACGCGCATCTCCGTCGAGATGAAGAAAAGCCAGTTATTCACAGTTAAGAAAAGTACCACCCCACCCCGGTTCACGCTGGCGCGTCAAACACGCTGCGTGTCACCTCCCGAAAAAATGTTCACCCCATCCGCTCACGCCGACCCCTACTCCTCCTGACACCCAGCAGCGCGTCATCCACAAGCTCGCCAGCCTCCTTCGGCCCCGGTCTGGACCCCGGTCTCGTGGCGAGCAGGCGCTTTAGCAGATGCAAAGTCTGCTCCGAGACAGGCGCGAGAGCGCTGCTTCGAATTAGCTGCTCTGCGTCTGCATGAGTCACTTGATATTTCAGCCTTGCCCAGTCGGCGCCGACAAATGGCAGACTGCGCGTTAGCATAGCGTATAGAACTACTCCGCAAGCCCACATGTCGGCTTGCTCTGGCACGTAGGCCACTTTCCTCATAATTTCTGGGGCGGCATACTGTGGGGTGCCACAGTGCTGGCGAGTGCTCATGTCGCCTCCTGGTCTGCGCCAATAGCACATACCAAAGTCTGCGAGCTTGACTCGACCATTGGCCGTCATGAGGACGTTCTCCGGTTTGAGATCACGATGGCTAATGCCCCTCTCGTGGAGGTAATCCAAACCCTGCAAAATCTGCCTGAGGTACTTGAGCGCCTCTCTTTCCGGCAGGCCTCTGGGCTGCCTCTTCAAATACTGATAGAGGTCGCCCCGCGGACAGAATTCGGTGGCAATGTAGACGTGGTGGTCGTCCTCGAAGGCGTTGCTGAAGCGGACAACGTGGGGGTGCGCGAGCTTGGACAAGACGGAGACTTCTCTGGCCAGGGCCATTTTCGCGCCGCGGTCCACGAGCAAGTGCTTGGGAACGATCTTGACAGCGACATTGGAGCGGCTGGCCTTGTCGACTGCGCGGACGACTGTGCCCGCGCAGCCGGCGCCGAGGTGGTTCAACAAGTCGTAGCGCGCGAGCAGAGCGGCGAGCGTGGAGGATGGAGGGTGGTATGTGCGGACGCGAGCGCGAGAAGGGGTGTGGGCGACTGGGGCTCGGGCGACACGGGATGTCATTGAACAGCGGAGTGTGGCTTGGTGGGGGGAGGGGGGCGAGAAGGACAAGAGGGGTGCGGAATCGGAATCGGGAGGTAGGAAGAATGTGAGCCGAGAAATTGTCTAGAGGCAGCGGGGCAGGGGGGATGAGGATGGTGGATTTAAGTACCCTCTGATAATTTAGACGAGGTTTGACGGGCGGTGGGGGGGAGGGGGGTCGCCGGGAAGGAGGGTCGGAACGTTGTGTACGGAAGGGGATACAGAAGGCACGCAGTATGACAGCGAGGGTAGGGGAGGAAGGCAACGGAGGAAGGCAATGGAGGAAGGCAAGAGAGAAAGGGCAAGGGAGAAAGGCAAGGGAGGAAATGCAGGGAAGCGACGTGTCAGGAGCGGGAGCTCGCGAGACGATTGGGCGGGAGTTGGTTGCCCGGAACGGGTGGGCAAGGCGCGTGGCCTTATCGTGGAGCTCCGACGCAGCAGGGTATCGACGCGAGGACGGAGCGTTAGGATCGGAATCGATGTGGGCAACAGGGCCGGCATGTTGGGAATCAGGGGGTAATCGAGGGATGGAAGGAAGACTTAGAGGGTCGTGGGAAGTGGAAGAAAAGCCCACGCCGTAGCGCTTGCGTTTGGTACCACAACTCCAGTGGGATGA